ACATATATTATATCTATAGTATGATAGTTATAAAGCCACCTCTGTACATTCAATGTATTATACGGATAGAGGAATACCGAGAGTTGAACATAGCATTATATACTTCGAAATATTTCTTTTTGCATATAATTACGATTAAGATCTAAACCATTAAAACTATTATAATCCATGGGTTAAGTGGACCGGTTAAGCATATAAAATTTTTAAATATATTTTTATTATATGTTAATAAATATAACTATTTCTAAAATATGTTTAAAAACTTAGGAGATTTAATTATTGAACCAGTATTAACATGTCTGATTTGGTTATCCAATTCACGAGTTTGATAGAAAACTAACTGATCAGTCTAATCTAAGTTTCAAAATATGAGTGAGATCATAAATATATTAAACAGTCATAAAGTGAACCTAAACCAAACCAGTATAAATTTTGATTTTGTAAGTTATACCAAATAAATATCTACAACATTATCCACCATATGGGTGTGGTTCTGATACATATATACTATTTACTCATGCAAATTTTGAAGAACGGGTTTTTGCGGGTTAAAATATTATAGTTCGTTTCAGGCCAGACATATTGGACGAGTTTGACTCGCTTGACAACTATATTTAGGTCATTTGTTTCAAGAAGTTTTAGTGTTTTTTTGTTGTTTTTACCTGGTTTGATAGTTCACGATTTACATAGAAATCTAGATTATCACTAATCCGGTTTACACTTTATCCGGGTCCGCTATCATGTCGATCTAAAGCGATTATTATTTCAAACATTCAAAAATTTGAAGAAAGCAAAGCAAACGTATTTGTGGCTCCAAAACTCTTACCTATTCTTTTATATGTTAGACTAAAATATATAATCTCAAATGAGTTTTAAAACCACGATTATAAGATGGAAAACATGATATAGATGAGATGGGACATTACGGTTATAAAATAATCACCTTATTGTGACTTTTTGTTTTACTATTTTTCTTTTATGTAATGTTCTTAACTTAACGAAAACAAATATGATAATTTTTTTTATCTAAATCGAATTAAAAACGACATGAAACTGATACGAATTCTTCTAATTATGAATTAAATAACATTACTTAAAAATACGTTTACAAACTTAATCTTGCACATATGTAATATATTGAAATCAACCCTGCACGCACGTATGTAATACAAACTTTTGAAATCATCCCCGCACGTATGTGCGGGTCCATCCCTAGTTGTTTTTAAAAAGAGGTACATTAAACGATACCATATTTAAAACAAAACCTAATTTTTAATAACGATAAGAATTTATGTAAAAAATAAGTTAAAGGTTTTTTTGTATT